AGATTAGTGGTATAAAATAGTATCCAGAAATAGACCCAAATATACATGAGAATGTGTATAAGAAAAAGGTAGAGGGCTTCCCTGCTGGCGCAGTGGTTAAGAATCCGCCTGCCAAGGCAGGGAACACAGGTTCAGTCCCTGGTCCGGGAAGATCCCACATGCCACAGAGCAACTAAGCCCATGTGCCACAACTACTGAGCCCGTGCTCTAGAGCCTGTGGGCCACAACTGCTGAGCCCGCGTGCCTAGAGCCTGTGCTCCACAACAAGAGAAGCCACTGCAATGAGAAGCCCGCGCACCGCAATGAAGAGTAGCCCCCGCTCGCCGCAACTAGAGGAGGCCCGTGCACAGCAACAAAGACCCAACGCAGCCAAAAATAAAATAAATAAATTTAAAAAAATAAAAAAAAAGAAAAAGGTAGAATGTCAAGATTTGGGGGGTAAAATTATTAATAAATGGAGTTGAAACATTTAACTTACTATCTAGAAAAAAATTAGATCCCTACCTCATTCCTTATACCAAAACAAATTCCAGACGGATCAAATATTTGGATGTTAAAAATAAAACCATAAAAGTAAAACAGTTGGACATTTAGGGAAATAATCTTGGATGATGTTAGGGGCTGAATTACGTTCCCTCAAAATTCATATGTTGAAGTCCTAACCCCCAGTATCTCAGAATGTGACTGTTTTTGGAGATAGGGAAGGTAATTAAATTTAAAATAAGGTCATAGCAGTGGGCCCTAATCCGATATGACTGGTGTCCATGTAAGAAGAGATTAGGACACAGACAGGCACAGAGAGAAGACACAGGGAGAAGACAGCTGTCTAAAGCCAAGGAGAGAGGCCTCAGAAGAAACCAACCCTGACGACACCTTGATTTGGACCTCCAGCCTCCAGAACTGAGAGGAAATAAATTTCTGTTGTTTAAGCCACCCTGTCTGTGGTACTCTGTTATGGCAGGTTTTCAAACTCATACAGGTGACTAAAATCTTTCTGAGCAAGATATGAAATTCAGAAGTCATAGAAGAAATGATTGATAAATTTGACTACATAATTTAAAATTCCTGCACAGAAATAAAAACAAATGACAATGAAAAGCCCCCCAAAATTAAAAAGACAGCACACCAGGAAAAAATATGACACCCAAAGGGCTAATTTCCTTAATTAAAAAAAAAGAGCCCTTGATTATCAGACCTTCCTTCCCTCCTTCCCTCCTCCCTTCCTTTTCTCCTTCCCTCCTTCCTTCCCTCCCTTCTTTCTTTCTTTCTCTTTCTCTTTCTTTCAATAAAAGCTGAAAATCCAAAAAATGTATATACGGTATTTCCTGATGGTTTCCCGTTGAATGCTAATTTCAGTTGTAAGCACAGTACCATCCGACACTGCGTGGGGCTCCTGGCTGAGGACCTGTAGTCTAGACGCCCACCACAGGGGGCCTTGCCTTAAGCATGTCCGCTCAAAGTGGGCCTGCGTCCTTTTAAGCTCTCACTGACCTTGAGAGATGCAGAATTAGGGTTTCTTCCTAGTCATCCAGAATCACACACAAGCACACTCACGCACACACACACGACTAATATTAACTCTCCAGTACGGTGCTCTCCGGAGCAGCCTTATAGAAGAAACCATTTCCCCATAAACAACATGATGCTTTCTGACCCAAGTGGGAATAGCCTTAGAGTTTTGGTGCAGAGCTGTGGCAGCCACTTCCTTTGTCCTCACCTTACAAGAGGCCCATCTGCCTGGGAATCATCCTCCACAGAGCTGTCGTTGATCTATGGCTACACTGAGAGCCTGAAGAGGCTTTAAAAAACCCTTCTCTGTGCTTTAAGCCAAATCACATTCCCAGGCAGACATCTCCAGAAGGGAAAGAGGAAATGGGAGGATTTATGATCCCCAGGAACCCCCTCCCATGAGCAAGTGTGAGGTGAGGGTAGGGACAGTGCGCTGTCTGCAAGCATGGGGAGGATGGGCTGGAAAACTTCACACTTCACGCTGTTGACTGTGGTTAATCTCGGGTAATGAGATTTGGAATGGTTTTGCTTTTCTTCTATTTAATTTTCTAAATTTTCTGCAGTGAAATTGTACTGCTTTTCTAAACAGGAGAAAGAACAATAAATGTTATAAAAACCATTTTGTATGTTAATCTTATCTTCCTAACTAGACCATATAAACTCCCTGAAAGAGAGGTCACACATTTTTCTTTTCCTCCTTCTTCTTCTTCTCCTTCTTCTCTTTCTCTCTCTCTCTCTCTTTTTAAAAATTTTTTTTAAAAATTTATTTATTTTATTTAATTTATTTATTTTTGGCTGCTTTGGGTCTTTGTTGCTGCACACAGGCTTTCTCTAGTTGTGGCGAGCGGGGGCTACTCTTCATTGTGGTGCACAGGCTTCTCATTGCAGTGGCTTCTCTTGTTGCAGAGCACGGGCTCTAGGCATGCGGGCTTCCATAGTTGTGGCACGTGGGCTCAGTAGTTGTGGCTCATGGGCTTAGTTGCTCTGCGGCATGTGGGATCTTCCTGGACCAGGGCTTGAACCTGTGTCCCCTGCGTTGGCAGGCGGATTCTTAACCACTGCGCCACCAGGGAAGCCCCCCTCTCTCTCTCTTTTTGATATCCTTTCCCATACCTTTGTTCAGGGCTCATGGTGTGTACTTTATAAACTCTTGCCAACAGTCATTAATTTGGAGTGTTTCCCAGACTAAAGTCACCTGGGCAGGAGAAACCTTGCCTGGGTCAGAATAACCCTGTGGAGCCGCCTGGAAAGCAGAATCTGTGGGTTGGACATGTGTTACCCTCTCCTGATCTCGTAGGCACATCATCATCCCCATTGGGCACCCAGCCTCATGATGCTGTATTCCAGGGCTCGGTTACTTGGTGCTTTTTCTAAAAATGATTTTTTTTTTTTTTTTGCTGTGTTGGGTCTTCGTTGCTGCACGTGGGCTTTCTCTAGTTGAGGCGAGCGGGGGCTACTCTTCATTGCGGTGCGTGGGCTTCTCATTGCAGTGGCTTCTCTTGTTGCAGAGCACGGGCTCTAGGCGTGCAGGCTTCAGTAGTTGTGGTGTGTGGGATCAGTAGTTGTGGCGCATGGGCTTAGTTGCTCCGCGGCACGTGGGATCTTCCCGGACCAGGGCTCGAACCCGTGTCCCCTGCATTGGCAGGTGGATTCTTAACCACTGTGCCACCAGGGAAGTCCCTTGGTGCTGTTTTAAACTTTAGATGGTACTTACTGGTTGACAAGAGGGTTGCCACTCACAGGTTTATTACTGGTCAGTGTGAATATCATCAACTTGAATGTTATTTTTTGTTGTTGTTGTTGTTTTTGCGGTACGCGGGCCTCTCACTGCTGTGGCCTCTCCCATTGCGGAGCACAGGCTCCGGACGCGCAGGCTCAGCGGCCATGGCCCACGGGCCCAGCTGCTCTGCGGCATGTGGGATTCTCCCAGACCGGGGCACGAACCCGTGTCCCCTGCATCGGCAGGCGGACTCAACCACTGCGCCACCAGGGAAGCCCCTTGAATGCTATTTTATGCGAGAAGTCTTCTCTGGTTTCCTCACCTAGGAGTAATCTTTCCTTCCTCTAAATTTCACCATGCATGATTTCTACCATCATGGCGTCCATCACTTTCTAAATGTATGCTGTTATTTACACACACATCTTACCTCCCCTCCCGAACCATGTGTTTCCTGAATCCGGATCCTGACTGTTTTTACACAGACAATCCTATTTAAACCTCACAACTACCCACCACCCCATGACATAGGTGCTTTATCTCTACTTTACAAGTGAAAAACCTGAGGACCCAAGAGGTTAGCAATATCTAGTATAGTAGATTAATATCTAGTATCTAGTATAGTAGATCTTCAATAGGTCACGCTGCTCCTAAGTGATGGAACCTGGATTCACACTCAAGCAGTCTGACCCGAGTCCATGCTTTTCGTTCCTGGGCCTCAGCATCCCCCAGCCACGCTTCCTGCACATGGTAGGCAGTAACAGTGCAGTAAATACTCGTTAAATGAGTTCATTAGTCCGTTATATACAAGAAGGTTGGTCAGCTGGTAGGAGGTTCTCCCAGTTTCTGATGCCTCCTCCGACCTACAGCATTAGGACAGTTTAGACTGTAAAGGATTTAGGAGTAAAATTAGGGGTTATTGAAGGGCTAGATCTGCCTCCAGACCACTGTCAGACCAAGTTTGACCAATACGGACATAAGTTGCATTAGAATTAGCCTAGGACGCTGCTTCACAATCATACGGAAACCTAGCTAAGACTGATAACTTCCTGAAGAGGAGAGGCTACACATCTTAAAGAGCTAAATTGTGTAACTCTTTGAACCTTGGTGTTGTGTGTGCTTGGAGAGTGGGGGAAGAGCATATATATTGTATGTGTAATATACATACACACATATATATACATATACACACACACACACACATATATATTATATATCTTCCAGGTTTACTGTGAGGTTTAATGAGATAATGTGAAGTGCCCAGCACAGTGCTTGGTACACAGTAGGAACTCCATACGTGTAAGCGCCTGCCCTCCACTCCACCCTCGTTTCCCACTTTGCAGCTAAGCCGAAAGAAGGCACAAAGCCAGAGGAAAGATGAGTGGGTGACAGCTGGCAATAAGAGACATGTTGGTCAAATTCCACAAGAGAAATTGGCTGTGAATCAGAGGTGGTAAAGTCCACTTCCAAGACTCCAAAGAGCAGCTTTTATTCTTGCAAGAAAAGTTAGTCAGGAGAGGGACAAGTGAGAAGTCTCCTGGAAGAAAGAGGAGGTAGTTATTCCCAGCAGAGCGTGAAATTGGCTCTTGGGAGGCCTCCCCTGTAATAAGTGACTATTTTGCTGGGCAGGATTGGATTAGCTCAGGGGTATTTAGCAATCTGTGTATCTCGCTGGGTCCTGGCACTTTACCGAGGAATAGGAAGATTAATTGCAGGCACCTGTCTGCTCGTCCCATGTAATATAACCAACGCTGGAAGGTTCCTCTCATTCCAGAAACTGCTCAGCCTCCCGCCTCTGCGAAGTTTGCCCATCTGTCTGGAAAAAGGCAGTTCAGGCCATGTTTTTCCCAAGCAATAGAAAAAGCCAGTCTCAACAAAGCGAGAAGTTTGTCCTAAGAAGCTGGAAGTTTACTTAAGAGATATTTCAACAACCTATGTCTTCGGTAAGTCTCCCCTGAAACAGACTCCTAGATGGAGACGTGCATACAGGGTGTTGGGGTTATTTTGTTTTTGTGTGTGTGCTTTTTGGAGGTGGAATGTATTCTTAGGAATGACACGTGTACGGCAGTAAGGGAAGCAGAATTGGGCAGAGGGAGGTGAACTTCGATGCTGTGGCACCAGGGGCCTCAGCTGAGCCCGTGGAGGCTGGATAACGGTGCAGAGTTGTCCCCAATAAAACGAGGTGTGGCCTCACATCCCCAGTGACCAGCCATTTGATGCTGGGGGCCCCAGGGAGGGGTGGAACCTTGGCCAAGGCAGCTCCCTCGCCAAGGGCCCTTCAGAGGGAGCTCAGCTGTGAACCACCAACAGCCAACCCTGCAGCTGCTATAACCTGCCATGCAGCTGTGAGCCACATTCAGAGTTCAAAATCTAGGGAAAATGTTGAACTGTCATGATGTCAGACATGACAGATTTCAGACGGACAACTGTCCTAGATTTCCTCTAGGAGCTGAGATTTGGGGAGGGGAGGAGAAAGGGCCATCGTGTGACTGTCAGTTTTCCGCAGTGGAGATGGGCCAGAGCCAGGCCTAGATGGCCTGATACAAGCCAGCTATGTCTGTGGCTTGACGGAGAAGTCTGTGTTTTTCTTCTCGACTGCAGAAATTAAGGAAGTAGAATAACTGGACTGCTACACCTGGAAACTTAACTCCATAGCCCAGAATCAGAGTAGGTACTCTACACGTGTCTTTTTGCATTGAATAGCATTTCACTGGTTTGGCGTTTCTGACTGAGGGATCCATTGGCTGTCTTTGCGGAAAGTGGGGGAATTTTTCTTGGAGTATACCTGCACCAGTATGCCCACCTTGACTTAATCGTATGGGGGTCTACAAGTCTTGTTCATAAAATGTGTCGAGCTTGAGGAAGAAAAGGTAAGAAGATGAGTTTATTAGACCTTGGCAAAACAAAACAAACAAAACGCCACAACCGAGCAAACAACCTCATCCACCTGTGGTTCCCTCCGTGGCTGACACTTTACATTCCCACAGCGTTTTCCTTGTATATATCACTTAGCATCTATCTTTTGTTAAAGGGCTTCTTGATTTTGTTTGTTTTTAAAGCTGTTGTTCTATCAGGTTGTAAATGCCTGGAGAGGAGGATCTCCAGACATCCTGCCTTGTTTTCTTCACAGTCAGGGATGATATTCAAGGTAGTTAACACCCAGTACAGAACAGGAACCAACCAAATCAAATGGACACTGGTCTCAGCAATTTGTACAGCCATACTGGTATGTACAGCTGAGTATGTTTTCTGCACACAGAAGGCTTCCAATAAACGATTGTTGGATTGAATTTCATTGGTTTGGTGTCCTGGCCCTGGCATCTAATGGCTTTCTTTCAGAATTCAGGCTACTTTTTCTTGCCAGGATATGACCATAACCATTTTTCCTCCTTGATTTAATCCTGCAAGAGTCTTTGAGTAATTGTGAAGAACTTTGTGAGTTCTTCAAACCTGCACTGTCCAATATGGTAGACACTAGCCACATATATAAGGTTGCTAGATAAAATATAGGACACCTAGTTAAATTTGAATTTCAGATAAATAAAGAATAAATTTGTAGTGTAAATGTGTCCCATGCAATATTTGGGATATACTTAAACTACAAAATGATCTGTTGCTTATCTGAAATTAATAATTAACTGAGCATCCTATGTATTTATTTGCTAAATCTGGTAACCCTACACACGTGGCTATCTAAACTTAAATTAATTGAAATGTAATAAAAAATTTAAAATTTATTTTCTCAGCCTCACTGGCCACATTTCAAGAGCTCTGTAGCCACATATGTGGCTAATGGTTCCCATCTTGAACAGCACAGATATAGAACATTTCTATCATTGCAGAAAGTTTTACTGGACACTAACTTTGCCAAGCAAACGATAGCAGGAAAGTTTTGTGTATTTTACACATTAAAAAAATATATATTTGGAGCCTAGAAGACCCCTTCTAACATAGCCAAGAAGCCACATTCTTCATGTTTCGGTTTGTTACTTTCACTGAATATGCAGGATATTTGTTCCAGATAAATGAGCCTGTATGAGAGAAGCAGCTCCTGCAAACCTACGTTTTTGGACGCTGTTGTCCTGCTTTTCTCCTGGGACTGCCAGGAAATGTCAGCTGTCAGATCAGAGCAAATCAAAATTTAAAGAGTCCTAAATGAAAAATAAATGTGTTGTTATTTGACTTAATAGTCTCATTATTCATAGATTTTCTTAAATTGATAAGCAGATAATATTATCACCTAGAATATTTGTTTTATAACCCAAGTCTGTGATGAACCTGGTAAACACGGCAGAAGTCTTCCCTCTCTTAATTAGCCTTTTGGGAGAAAACCTGTTTTGAATCACTGCCTGCAGCCCCGGGAGTCTTATAAGGAGCAAGAGTAGATTAAGCTCTGGGAGGGGCACATGCCGAGAGCTGATTTTTACATATGACTTGGTGAATCTCAAACAGAAACTGGCTAACATGCCAGATGGGACCAGCGTAAAAGTGACAAGACTGCATCAATGTCAAGGGCAGGGATCTAAAGGACTTGACATATTAAACAGTTGTACACCAAAATATTATAAAAAACAAAATTAAAGACAAATGACTTAAGTTTGAAAATTTTGCTATGTGTGTGACAGAGTTGATGCCATCTGTACGTAAGAAGTTCTCACAGATCAATAAGAAAAAGACAAATGCCTCAGTAGAAAAATGACCAAATAATAGGAAAGTCACAAAATAAAAAATACAAAAGGATAATATACCTTTAGTGTCTAGAATAGTGACTGTCACATAGCGGGCACTCAGTAAATACCCACTGTCTGAATGAATGTCTACGAAAAACATTTGATTTCAGGAATAATAAAGAACTGCAAATTAAAATAACAGTGAAATAAATTGTTTTCACCGGCCAGCTTTGTAACACTGAAAAAAAAAAAAAAAGTACCTGGTGTTGGTAATGGTGAGGGGAAATGTACCAATTACCCACTGTGGGTGGGAGGGTAAAGTGGTATCAACTTTTCAGTGGAACAGTTGACAATATGCAAAAAGCTTTGTCTAAAACCTTTGACACAGCAATTTACAGGAAGTTATTATGAGAAAATACTTACAAATGCCCAAACCTATGTGTACAATAGTAGGGTAGGTGATATACATTTTTCATTGTTGCTTCTTGGGTCAGTCTTTTAACATACCCTCTAGGGCTTAGTGGTTGGTGCATAGACATGGGTTACATCCAAATCAGGCCCCTCCTTCCACCGAATTATCCAAGTGGGAGATGGAAAAGGAGTTCTGTCTTTGTCCTTGGCATGCTGGCTGTCAGGGTGGGCTCTAGAGCTGACAGCGGCTGTGACCTCCCCTGGAATGTGGCCAAAATATAGAAGTAGAAATGAGACAGACAGACAGAGGGAGAGAGAAAGAGAAAGTGTTCTTGTGAAACTTGAGTCAATAAATCCAGTCAACTTTAAGGCCAGTATACTTTCTTCCTTTCTGTGGTTTTGTGAACCAGTTAATTCTACTTTTTTGCTAAATTTAGCATGAGCTTGGACTTCCACTTCCTATCAAGATGGAGTAAAAGGGGCCAAATTTACCCACCCACCAGAAACAACTAAAAATCTAGACAAAATATTTTTTTTAAATAGCCATTTTCGAGATATTGGACATAAGGCCTGACGAAATGGGGAACAAATGAGGTAAGCCCTGTGAGTGCCCAGCCTACTGCCTTGAGAGATTTTCCAGATGGTGGCATGGAAAGGTGGAATCTGGGTAGAGCCTCGAAGATTCCGAGGTGAGGAGCTGAAGCTAGAGTCCAGAGAGACCAAGACAGCTAGAGTTTGCAAGACAGAATACTAGATAGGAGAGAGCTACACACAGACAGAAAAATGACAACAACAAAAATCTAGAGATCTTCAGAGGGTCCCCCTCACCAGCACATGAATGTGAGGAAACTGTTCGAGGTCAGGGAAGGAGCCACCTGAAAGTATTACGCGAACAGTAACAAGAACTCATACAGGGCCTGAATAGTGCCTGTTCCCGCTAGCCAGATTGGAAATCTTATAATTCACAAGTCATTAGGCAAAGTACTCAGAAGGATTTTGCCTCAGTTGTGGGGTAAAATTGGCTCTCAACTAAATGCCGCCCTGGTCCTGCCTAACAAATTAAAAAAAAAAAGACTTGAAAGGATCAAATTGTTTCCAAACAACTGTGCCCCAGAACAAACTCAAGAATTGGGACTACAAAAATATCCAGCACTCAGCAAGGTAAATTCACAGTGAATGGAATTAATGAAAATTTACTGGGCATACTGGGAAATATGACCCGTAATGAGGAAGGTAAACAAACTGACTCAGAACTGATGCAGATATTAGAATTAGCAGGCAAAGACATTAAAACAGCATTATAACTGTTCCCTAGCTTCAGAGGCTCAAGGAAGGATTGACTACGTTAAGTAGAGATGCGGAAGATATTTTTAAAAGACCCAAAATCAACTTCTAGAAATAAAAACTGTAATGTCTGAGATAATGAGTATACTGGATGGGATCAACAGCAGATTATTCACAATGGTTTCAAAGTCCATCCATGTTGTAGCATGTGTTAGTACTTCATTCATTCTCATGCCCGAATTATATTCCATTGTATGGATATACCACAATTTATTTATCCATTCATTGGTTGATGGACATTTGAGTTGTTTCCACTTTTTGGCTGTTATGAATAATGCTGCTATGAACGTTCATGTACAATTTTTTGTTTGGACATATTTTATTTCTCTTGGGTATGTACTTTGGAGTGGAATTTTCCTAAGCTTTTTTATCCTCTTATCTCCATTTATCAAATATATAAATAGCATAATTCCAGCTGGAGTTGCTGGAATTGCATGGTAATCCTGTGTTTAACCTTTTGAGGAAGTGCCAGACTGTCTTCCAAAGCAGCTGCAGTGCTTTACATTCCTAACAACAGTGAAGTCCAGTGAATCTATTTTTTGTTGTTGTTGCTTGTGCTTTTGGTGTCATATCTAAGAAACCATAGCCTAGCTAAAGCTCACAAAGATTCACTCCTAGGTTTTCTTCTAGGTGTTTTATAGGTTTTGCCCTTACATTTGGATCTATGATTCATTTTGAGTTAATTTTTGTGTATGGTATGAAGTAGGTATTCACTTTCTTTTTTTTTTGTCTGTGGCTATCCAGTTGTCCCAGCACCATTTGCTGAAAAGACTATTTTTTTCCATTGAGTGGTCTTGGCATTCTTGTTGTCAACTTATCACAAATGTGAGGGATTATTTCTAGACTCTCAATTCTATTCCACTGATCTGTTTATCTGTTTATCTGTATCCCAGTACCACCTTACCTTGATTACTGTAGCTTTGTAGTACGTTTTTGAAATCAAAAAGTGTGAGTGCTTATATTAATTCTTGATTACATTAATTGCATTAATTCTTGCTTACATTAAGCTAAAATATGTCTCCTTGTAACTTCTCACAGTCTGCCCTTTGGAGACACCCAGTTAGTTTGTCTAGAGAATACATGTGCTTATACAGCTTTGTGTTTTAAAAATGCCAAATTCTTGGACTTCCCTGGCAGCGCAGTGGTTAAGAATCCACCTGCCAATGCAGGGGACATGGGCTCGATCCCTGGTCCGGGAAGATCCCACATGCTACGGAGCGGCTGGGCCCGTGTGCCCCAACTACTGAGCCCATGCGCCACAACTACTGAAGCCCGTGCACCTAGAGCCCGTGCTCCCCAACAGGAGAGGCCACCGCAGTGAGAGGCCTGCGCACCGCAACGAAGAGTAGCCCCCGCTCGCCGCAACGAGAGAAAGCCTACACACAGCAACAAAGACCCAAGGCAGCCAAAAATAAATCAATAAAATATATGTGCCAAATTCAGTGTAAGGAAAACTCTTGGATCATTATCTGCAAATTTAGTTTCCTGCCTCAGGATTTCTGCCCAGATTGCATATCTGGGACGTGAAGAGAACGAAGGAGCACCCTTAGCCCTTGCTATTTGCCCAGAAAGGTATACTTTCAGATAGGAAATTTCTTTCTCACCAGCAAATACGAGGGGGAAGACATCCGTAAGATCCAATGCCTTGGTCTACCTGGACATTATACTTTGGATGTAAGAGAACCCACTGGTCTAGTTTAGTCACTGGCTGGGTGACCAGGGCCACACGCTTACCCTTTCTGTGTCTTTGTTTTCCCACCTGTTTTATCCCTTCCCCCTCCCTTCCTCAGAGGGAGTGTGGGAAAATGAAAATAAGGGTACGACTATGTGAAAAGCTTTTAGTTTGAAAGATACTAGGAAAATACAGGATGCTATTAGAGTGGATCTGTCGTGAACAATAACCATTAAAGACCAACTAACACATTTTAAGAATTAAAACTACAGTAAAATAACCAGGTTGAGTATGTCATTGCATCACCTTTCAAACACAGACATGCAAACCCAGCTAGAAAACTGTTTAATCCTAAATTAAATGTGAGGACTAGGACTGCTGGCCTCGTTTAGATTCAGTCACTCAAATTGCCACTGCAAGTTCCACGACTACTGTCAATTTTTAACTGTGCAGTGGACTCTTGTCAGGATTAAGCAGGTCAGACTTTATTCGACACAACATTGACTGTCGCTGGTGCCTTATTTTTACCTGAAAAAAAAAATAAAGAAAGGCCGTTAAAAAAAAAACTCTGGTTAATAATAAATACTGAAAGATTATAGTGTGTTAGAAGCTGACAGGTATCGTAATATCTAAATGGATTTATTGACCTTTAAATGGAGCTTGGCTCTCATGTCTATTTGTCACGATTTCCTACTTATTTCCTTCCCCACTTTTTCCCCATTGTCAACTCTTGTTATTCTCAGTGATCACAGAAAAAAAAAATATGTTAGTTTGAGGGACTTAACCTGCCAGTCTGTGTTGTTTTGGTCACATTATCTCTCCTCCTTTACTGAAATATCTCTCTTCTTCCTTGTTCTTTTTTAGTTAAGGTATAATTGACATACAACATTATATCAGTTTCAGGTGTCCAACGTAGTGATTTGGTATGTGTATATATTTCAAAATGATCACGGAAATAAGTCGAGTTAACATCTCTTAACTGAACTGCTTCTAATCGGGCTCATTACAGAGCCTCTAACAGTAAGAATTAAAGGCTCTAATACAAACTTGTACCGACAAACAGAATCTCATTAAGAAGTTCATTTTGGTCCTCCCCCCAGCTCCTCAAGAGAACGTGCTGGTGATAATATCCAGTCTAATTGTGTATTTTCTACATGTGATTACAACGCAGCAGGACTATCGGACTGCATAAAGTTTGAAGTGTTCTTCTCATGAAGTGAACTGTCATTAGTATTACTGAAGACAGAAACCAATTTTTGGAAAGGAGGAATGAATATAAAGATGAGTTAGGGCAAATTGGATGACTGGGTGAGCCACGCTGGGATGCAGAGGTAAAGAAATTGAAGCTCTATGTCCTATATTTAGTATTTAAATAATGATAATTTAAAAGATCTTTCTTAAGGGAAGTCTGTTGATGTGCTAGGCCTGGAAGAGAAGAAGGATGTCTCTGTCATAGTGGAGTCAGCTCACATTTTTACCCTTTCTCTATTCCCCACTGCACATAGCTTCCACTCATAGACCTGGGGATAGCGACAGATCTTCCACAAGCATCTTGTATCTAGTAGTGAAATATTAGTAACAACTTAAAAGTACCAACTGAAGTAGTGTTTAAATAAGTTTTAGTTCAGCCATGTGATGAAAGATTATGCTGTCACTTAAAATAATATTGTATATTTAAAAATTAGTGATAATTTTGATGGAAATATGATTATAGTGTTAGGTTAAAAAATAAAACATGCTCATGAAGTAAAAAAAAGAAAGGAAGAAACGTACATAAAAGTAAAAGCGGGGCTTCCCCGGTGGCGCAGTGGTTGAGAATCTGCCTGCCAATGCAGGGGACACCAGTTTGAGCCCTGGTCTGGGAAGATCCCACATGCCGCGGAGCAACTGGGCCCGTGAGCCATAACTACTGAGCCTGCGCGTCTGGAGCCTGTGCTCTGCGACGAGAGGCCGCGATAGTGAGAGGCCTGCGCACCGCGATGAAGAGTGGCCCCCGCCTGCCGCAACTAGAGAAAGCCCTCGCACAGAAACGAAGACCCAACACAGCAAAAATAAATAAATAAATTACTAAAAACTCCTACCCCCAACATCTTCTTAAAAAAAATGTAAAAGCATAGAAAAATATCGGAAGGAAATATATCAAAATGTTAATGAGGTTATCTCTCTGTGGTAGAATTATGAGTGGTTTTTACACGTTTTTTTTTGCCTATCTCTATTTTGTAAATTTTCTAAAAATAAAATGTATACTCCTGGAAGAATAAAACAATGAAGGTTAGTTTTTAAAGAGTTAACAAATATAATGGTTTTCTGGCCTTTATAGAGATAAAATAATGTAATTTTTAAAGTATGTCTTTTGCTGTTCTGATGAGCAGAATTTATTATAGACCTAGTTTGTTTTGTGTGTGTATGAATGTGTGTGTGTGTGTGTGTGTGTGTGTGTGTGTGTGTGTGTGGTGGGGGGGTGGTGATCTTGGATACACAGAGTTAAATTTAACGTTTTAAATTAATCACATGGTTGACATCTGCTATGACCAGGGCCCCTTCCCAGGTATTGCAGAGGACACAGTTGTTATGAGGCACAGACCTTGCTTACAGAAGGCCTACATCAGATGTGGAAAAAAGGCTTAAACATGTGGAAAAGTCAATAACAATCCCCATAGCAAGCTGATAGGTTTTTCCAGAAGTCCTTACATGATGTTCCGTTCATGTAATTTGATGACCAGAAGATGCTTCTTGAGAGGACCTGTCCACTTGAAAACATCTTAGTCAGTCTTTTTGGGAATGTTTTCTGTCTTTAGGTAATAACCGTGTGTCACAGGAATCTGCAGAGGTAAGATTTTTTTCCCATTTATTAAAAAAATTGAACCAAAGTTTATTTGGCAATAAGATAGGGGCTAAGTCTCTACAAGGGCTTTAAATTTCTCTTTGGGCAGGGTTCAGCCTTTTGGGCCCCTTCTAATTACTACCTGTGACTATTTTTTCTAACCAAGGTCTAGCCCTTAACGTCCTGATTCTTGGGTAGCTGATCCAGCACTTCAATCTGTCCTGGTTTGTTACAGGCAGAGATAAGTGATAAGATTCCCCAATCCTATTCTGTCATAGCTTAATACCTCTGTTGAAGCTCGGGGATAAGAGCTGCAGAGATGCACGGATGGAGAGCTGACGTCAGCCTGGCAGTTGGAAAGGCCTACTGTGACAAGCTGCTCCCAAGGTGCACTAAGCTGTGAGGCAGCACCACCTTGTCTTTCTCTAGGGAACCCCCGCGTTCCAGACCTAGATTCCGCACGCACATCCCTAACCTGGCTCTTATTAGCATCGTGACTTGTGTTAGTGTTTAGCACCCTTATTCAAGAATTAAAATCATACTGCATATAAAATGTGAAATCAGACATGCTTCCTCTCCAGTGGTCTAGAGATTCACACAAAAGAAATTGAGAAGTATTTTAGGAGAGGGTGAAAGTAGTGGAGGGGGAAAGAAGTAATCATTTCAGGATTTTCCTGAAATGCAAAACCAACTGATTATGTGTTCAGTTCAGCGAAGGGCCCGGCTCTGCTAATCTCATCACTACAGCCCTAGATGGCCCGGGTTCCTCTTCCTTCATCACCTGCCCCGATTGTTTCCTTGTATTGTGTATAATTTTATGAGCTTTGTGATTAAGTTGGAGAAAAATGAGACTACTATTTAAGGACTCTTAGTATTGTCTTAAAATAATGTATACTTCTGTCTACTCTAGATCATTACTCAGTGTAGAACTTGGAGCTCTTTACCTAATTCTCAGCTATTCTAAGAGAGCAAATTTACAATGTCTTCAATTGGTCTAAACACATACGGACATTTGGAAGATGAAATATTATTGCTGCTGTTACTGAATTTGCTGAATACTCTTTCTAGTTACAGAGTAAATCTGACTGTGGAGATTAATTAAGCAACATATGTTCAGTAAAATCATCTTGAGAGTCAGAAAGTTAACACTACATATAAAATTATGAATGTTAAAGTAGCACATATAATTTTCCTTGATCATAAGTGACTAATTTTGGTAGAATTATATGCCATTTAAAAAATCTGCTTTATTGCAGTGTAATCTATGTACAATTAAAATTCACCCATTTAAAGTGTACTGTTCAATGAGTTTTGAATGAATACAGTCACGTAACCGCAACTAAAATCAAGATAGAAAACATTTCCTTCACTCAAAATGTTCCCTCAAGGGACTTCCTTGGCGGCCCAGCAGTTAAGACTCCGTGCTTCCACTGCAGGGGGCACGGATTCCATCCCTGGTCGGGGAGCTAAGATCCAGAATGCCCCACAGTGCAGCCAAAAAGAAAAAAAAGAAAGAAAAAAAGTTCCCTCTGCTCCTTTGCCGTCAATCCCCATCCCTCCTCCCACCCCCCCAACCCAGGAACAGATCTGTTTCTATAATTTTGCCTTTTCTAGATTGACATATAAATGAAATCTGTAGTCTTTTGTGTCTGGCTTCTTTCAGCTAGCATAATGCTCTTGAGATTCATCCATATTATTGTACATATCAGTAGTTTGTTTCTTTGTATTGTTCAGTAGCATTCCATTACATGGAAATACCACAGTTTACTTACCCATTCATTACCTTTTGACAGGTATTTGGTATAGTTCCAGTTTTTGGCTATCACGAATAAAATTACTCTGAAATGTCTTTGTGTGGACATACATTTCCATTTCTCTTGGGAAATACCTAGCAGTGGATTTGTTGGATTATATGGTAAGTGTATGTTCAACTTTATTAGAAAGTCACACTATTTTCCAAACTGGCTGTACCACTGTATTCCCATCAGCAACGTGTGATAGAACCAGGTGCTCTGCATCCTTGTCAACACTTGGTATTCTCTGTCTCCTTTAGTCATTCTAGTAAGTATGTGGTAATATTACACTGTGGTTTTAATTTTCACTACATCAATGACTAATTATGATGCAATACGTCTGTTCATGTGCCTATTTGTCATCCATTTATCTTCTTTGGTAAAGTATCTGTTCAAATCTTTTGCACACTTTTTAAAAATTGCACTATTTATCTTAATGTTGAGTTGTAAGAATTCCCTACATATTTTGTTTACAAATATTTTTCCAGATATTTGTTTTGCAATATTTATTCTGTGGCCTTTTCATTTTTATAACATTTCTTTTAAAAAACAAATTTAAAAACTTTTTATGAAGTCCAGTTTAACAATTTTTTCTTTATGTGCATTTTGTGTCCAAAAATTCTTTGCCTAACCCAAGATCACAATGATTTTCTCCTACGTTTTCTTCTGGAAGTTTTACAGTTTTAACTTTTATATTGAAGTGTATGACCCAACTCAAGTAAAGTTTTATGTACTATATGAGGAAAGGATTTGCCACCCAATTGTTCCAGCATTATTTGTTGTAAAGGCTACCCTTTCTCCTTTGAATTACCTTGGCACCTTTGTCTATTTGTATTTTGGCACTCACTATTCTGATCAACTGATCATTTGTCAGTCTTTAAGTCAGGACCACACTGTTTTGATGACTGCAGCTTTATAGTGAGTCTTGAAATCAGGTAGTATAAGTCTTTCAACTTTGTTCTTTTTCAAAATTGTTTCTGCTATATCAGGTCCTTTTATTTCTATGTAAATTTAGAATCAGTCTGTCAATTTTTTTTTTTTTAGACTCCTCCATTATATACTGTCTTTTTTTTTTTTTTTTGGCGGTATGCGGGCCTCTCACTGTTGTGGCCTCCGGACGCGCAGGCTCAGCAGCCATGGCTCGTGGGCCCAGCTGCTCCGTGGCACGTGGGATCTTCCTGGACCGGGGCACGAACCCGTGTCCCCTGCATCGGCAGGCGGACTCTCAACCACTGCGCCACCAGGGAAGTCCCATTATATACTGTCTTAAAGTATTACGGTGGCTGTATTTTCCTAGTCTCTTTTACACGTAGGTATTGAAAAAATCAGAGCAGTTTTCTTTTCTTTTTTCTTTTTTGGCTGCGTTGGGTCTTAGTTGCGGCAGGCGGGATCTTTCGTTGCGGCCACGGGCTCTTTTGTGGCGTGCTGGCTTCTCTCTAGTTGTGGCTCAGGCTCCAGAGCACACGGGCTCTGTAGTTTGCAGCATGCAGGCTCTCTTGTTGAGGCACATGAGCTCAGTAGTTGTGGCGTGTGGGCTTACTTGCCCCACGGCATGTGGGATCTTAGTTCCCCACCAGGGATTGAAACTGTGTCCCCGGCATTGGAACGCAGATTCTTTACTACTGGACCACCAGGGAAGTCCCTGTCAATTTTCATTTTTAAAAAGTCTGCTGGGATTTTGATTGAGGTTGCATTGAACCTATAGATCAATTTTGGGAGAACTGACATCTTGACACTATTGAGTGTTCTGATCCAAAACAGGATATATCTTCCCATTTATTTGTCTTTAATTTCTCTCAGTAATATTTTGTGGCTTTTAGTATATAAATCTTGTGCATAGTTTGCTAAATTTATTCCTAAGTATAGTATGTTCTTGACACTATTTTAATTAACATTAAATTTATTTATATTTTTAAAAATAAAAATTGTATATAGTTTTGATGATTTGATATATATATCCATAATGAAATTATTAGTATAGTAAAGCTAATTAACATATCATCTTCTCAGATAATTACATTTTTGGATGTGATGAGTTTGCCTGAAATCTACTCTCTTAGCATATTTTCAGTGTTCAATACAGTATTATTAGGTATAGTCATCATGCCTATAATTAGATCTCTGGACTTATTCATCCTACATAACTGCAGTTTTGTACCCTTTGACCAACATCTCCTTGTTTCCTCCACTGCCACTGCCCCCCCCATTCTTATTCTTTGCTTCTATGAATTCAATCATTTTTTTTTCCCCCAGATTCCATATGTAAGTGAGATCATATAGTATTTGTCTTTCTCTGTGTGGCTTATTTCACTTAGCATAATGTTTTCAAGGTTCATCCACGTTGCCACAAATGGCAGGATTTTCTTTCACCGCATGGCTGAATAATATTCCATTTTGTACATATACCTCATCTTCTTTATCCATTCATCCATTGATGGACACTTAGGTTGCTTCCATGTCTTGGCTACTGTAAATAGTGCTACTATGAACATGGGAGTGCACATATCTTTCCGAGTTAGTGTTTTCATTTCCTTCAAATAAATACCCAGAGGTAGAACTGCTGGATCATATAGTAGTTCTATTTTTACTTTCTTGAGGAACCTCCATGCTGTTTTCCATAGTGGCTGCACTAAGTGACGTTCCCACCAACAATGCACAAGGGTCCCCTTTTCTCCACATCCTTGCCAACACTTATTTCTTGTCTTTTTGGTGACAGTCATTCTAACTGGTGTGAGGTGTTATCTCACTGAGGTTTTGACTTGCATTTCCTTGATGATTAGTGACACAGCACTTTTTCATATACCTGTTGGCCATTTAGATGTCTTCTTCTGAAAAATATCTATTCAGGTCCTTTGCTCATTCTTAAATCAGGTTGTTTTTTTGCTGTTGAGTTGTATGAGTTCCTTACATATTTTAGATATTAATCCCTTATCAGCTCTATGGTTTGCAAAAATTTTCTCCCATTCTGTAGGTTGCCTTTTCATTTTTTTGATTATTTTCTTTGCATTGTGGAAGCTTTTTAGTTTGATGTAGCCCCACTTGTTTATTTTTGCTTTTGTTGCTTGTGCTTTTGGTGTCATACCCAGTAAATCACTAGTTTCATTAGTTGTTTGTATTTTCTTGTATTTCACTGAATTTCTTTAAGAGGATTATTCTCAAGTTTTGATCGAACCGTTCATAGATCTCCATTACTTTGGGATCAGTTATTGGAGCTCTATTATTTTACTGTGGTGATAGCATGTTTACTTGATTATTTGTGATCCTTGTGGCCTCGTGTTGATGTATGTACACTTGAAGAAGTAGGCACCTCTTCTAGTCTTTACAGACTGATTTCGACAGGGAAAGCCCTTCACCAGGCAGCCCATCCAGAGATTCTGGATTGCACATCTGTTGGTTATCTCCAGGCTTGCTCTGGAGCCCTTCAGCAAGCAAGTCTGGTGCCTGGGTCAACAGGGTGGGCAGGCCTAGTGCCTCAGTCCATCATGGGGTGGGCCTGAAGCCTAAGTCCACTGGGTTGAGCTTGGCACTTGGATCCATGGGGCGGGTCTGGTACCTAAGGCTGTGGTGGTAGGCTGAAGACCTGAGTCCACAGAGGCAGGCCTGGTATCTAGGACTGTAATATTAGGCATCAAGCCTGGTCCCATGGGGGCTGGCCCAGTGCTGAGGTCTGCTGGGGCAGGCCGGGGCTCTGGTTCTGCTGGAGCTTGGGGCCACAGGGGTCGGTCTGGCATTGGGGTAGGCCTAGTCCTGGGGCTTTAGTAAGCTCAAGTGTTCATTTCATTCTCTTTCTCCCACTGGGAGGGTGTCTCTCTTCACACTGGGCTGCCTGGGGTTGGGGAAGGGGTGACAGAGATAATGTGAAACTGTCTTTCCTTCCCTCCTCAATGCATCTTTTCTTACTTCTTGCTCCACCCAGGTGCTCTAATCCCCACCTGGAATCCTTAGCTCTTGTGAAGGTATTTTTGCATGTGGATATTCGTTCAAATTGATGTTTCTGTGAGGGGACAGTCACTGGAAACTTGCTGAAGTCTGAAAGCCAAGCGATATATTAAAAAATTTTTAATTTTAGATTGTCCATTGCTTGTATATAGAAATGCAGTTGATTTTTGTATATTGACCTTGTATCCAGTGTCCTTGTTAAGTCACTTCCTAGTTCTAGCAGTGCTATTTTTTTTTTACATTCCTGAGGCTATCTGTGAATAAAGGCACTTTTACTTCCTTCTTCGTAGTCTGCATGCCTCTCATCTTTTATCCTCTCTTGTTACATTGAGCAGGACAGCCAGTACCATGTTATATAAAGTAGTGGGAGTGAATATTCTTACCTTGTCTGCCATCTTAGAGAGAAAGCATTTGTTCTTCCACCATTAAGCATGATGTTAGCTCTAGGTTTTTTGTAGATGAACTTTATCACATTGAAAAAGTTCCCTTTTATTTATAGTCAGTGGAAGGATTTTTTAAATAATGAATAATTGTTGAGTTTTGTCAAGTGATTTTTATGCATCTGTTGAGATGATCATATGATTTTTTTGTTTGCTGATATGGCCAATCACACTGATTATTTTTGTATTAATATTACGTTTATTATTATATCTTGAGATAAACCCAACTTGAACATGATATATTATCCTTTTTTAAAAAATATCACTGGTTTTTATTTACTAAAATTTTGTTCAGGATTTTTGTATCATGTTCATGATAGATATTAAACTGTAATTTTCTTTTTTTTTTGCGGTACGCGGGCCTCTCACTGTTGTGGCCTCTCCCGTCATGGAGCACAGGCTCCGGACGCACAGGCTCAGTGGCCATGGCTCACGGGCCCAGCCGCTCTGTGGCATGCGGGATCTTCCCGGACCGGGGCGCGAACCCGCGCCCCCTGCATTGGCAGGCAGACTCTCAACCACTGCGTCACCAGGGAAGCCCTTTTTTCTGCCTTCTTTTAAGTATTTTTTAATGATTCAATTTTATCTCCTATTGGCTTATTAATTATAACTTTGTTTTATAATTTTAGTGATTTAGTGTTTACTGTATATATTTTTAACTTATTATAATTTACCCTTAAATAATATTATGCCATTTCACATATAGTGTTAAGAACTTTATAATAGTATTCTTCCATTACCCCATCTGTCCTTTGTGCTGTAACTGTTATCCATTTTCTTTTATATATAAAAGTAATTTATAAATTTATAAAGGTAAATTATATACAATACATTATTATTATATTTTCTTTAAATTGATATTTATCTTTTAATGTGATTTAAAAGAATGCTTTTCTATTTCCCAACAAATTTATTTTTTCCAGTGTTTCTCATTCCCTATTGAAATCCTAATTTACTAATCCATCTACTAACATTTTCTTTTCCTAAAGAACTTAAAAACAACCACTTTTATTGTAATGCAGGTCTGCTTGCAATGAATTCTTTCACCAAAAACACACCCAGGTTGGGTGGGGTGGTGGTAGTGAAACGCTCCAGCCGGTGTGTTTTGTAATAGCTTCCTAGGTAATGCTGATCAATCTCTTCTTGTGAGAACTTGTTACGGCCTGGAAGATGGTATGGATTCCCATATCATTTTGGTGGGTATTGCCCAGGCTTTTTCTCTGTGCATTTAAATACATATAGAAACATAATTTTAAAATATAACATATGATCTAATACCTATTATTCTGCAACTTGAGTTTTTTACTATTTTTACGTGACCACATATATATTTACTTCCTGCTCTTCTACTGCTGTGTGGTGTTGTCAAAATTAAGTATACCATAGTTTATTTTCTTGTCAACATACATGCAGATTGTTTCACTTTTTGGTTACAAAGCTGTAGTGGACTTTCTCATTTTCCGTGCACACGCGCAAGTATTTCTCTCAGGTAGGTACCAGAAAGGGAGACTGCTGGATCAATGGCTATGCACATTGTACATTTTAACTAACAAATTGCCCTCAGAAAAGGTTGTACTAATTTATGTTATCATTAATAGCACGAGTTTCTCCATACCCTTGCCAACACTTGATATTATAAACCCTTAAAAATTTTGCTAATTTTTTTGAAGAAAAAATATATATCTTATTTTAGCTTGCACTTCCCTAGTTACTGGATTCCAGTCATTTTTCAGTCATTTGCATTTCCCACTGTCTCAATTGTCTTTTCCTATCTTCTCCCCCCTTTTCTATACAGGTGTCTTTTTCTCTGTGGTTTAAGGTGTTATCTATATATTTTGGTTATTACCCTTTTGTTATATAGGTTCTAAGTTTTTCTGCCAGCTCATCATTTGTGCTTTATTGACCAGAATTGTCAACTTTGATAATAGTCAAATGTTTTTCTTTATGACTCTTGGATAGTTCTTTGAAGTCCTTTCCTATCCCATGTTCCCCTATATTTTAAAAATTCTTACAGCTCTTTTTAAAAAAATAGCTCTTTAAACTGTGTGGATATTAATTTTGTAAATGGTGTGAGGTAGACATCTAACCTAATTTGTTTTTCAAACTAATAACTAATTGATCAAGCACTGTTTATTAATCTTTACCCCACTGACTTGAAACGCCGCCTTTCTCATTTATGGGATGCTGATACACACATAGAACTCTAAATACACATGTTTCTGTATTCTCTCCATTATCTATGCTTATCTCAATACCATACAGATTTAATCCTATGGTTTTCCAATTTGCTTTGGTATAGGGCAAGTCTCATCCCCCTTTATTTCATTTATAATTAAAAAAGGTTTAAAAATCTATTCTTCATTGTTTTAACTGTCTGATTCTCCCTTCTTCCTTGAGTTGCAAATAACAAGGAGGTAAAATAAGAAGTATCATAGACAAGACAAAAGAGCATGAGAAATGAGGGAAAAGAGACAAAAAAGGAGGAATTCTCTTAAGATGGTATTTTTTTTCTCTACACTTCAAGGTGCTACCCTATAAATTATGCCACATACAAAATAAAATAGATTTTGTGTATTCATCCACTGTCTAAATCAAAGGTATCTCTGGCTTTCATTGCTGGCCAGTTACCAATGGCAGGGACCATGTAAACATAAAATGTGAATCGATGGGAACTAGAAAGAAATATGAATCAACGTGATAAAATGAATAAGGACTAAAGTGAATTAAGAACATGGTGAGAGAGAATAAAATACTTGTATTCTTAGTATGGACCTACCCACTAGGAAGTCAAATCTCTGAGCTTAGTGCATCCATGGTGTCCTGGGTTCTTTCTCCTACCCGTTGATGTCTTATATGGATTACAGAGAGGTCAATTCTTTACTTGATAACTGAAGTGACAGAGAAAGGAAAAGAACTATTAGGGATATAATAGTAATGAGTAATAGAAAATACCATGCTAACTGAAAGTGGGTAAGTGTTGAAAAGGGAGCTGAACAAATAAGTGTCCATAATAAAATATTCACATAAACAGTTTAAGCTTTAAATCTAACATTGTACCTGTTTTCCTGGTGAAGCTAACATAACCCAAGTAGGAAAAGCTGTCACATGGGCAAGCCTAGTGTTAAGTCAACAGTTAATTCAATTATTTACAATGAATTTAGTTGTTCCCTGCTGAAATAACATGTCAATAGGGCATGGTGGTTGTCATGGGACTTGTGTCCAATGCAGTGTGGCCAAAGGTTCATGGCCCAGTAAGCAGGGCCAGGTAGTAATAAAGGCTTTTAATGACCATTCACACAGAAATATCCTCATTTTTTTAATGGTGCCAAAACACGAACATTGTGATTTACTGATCTCCCTTTAACTCATCAATTTATAATTAGTTGTCTCATGTTTTAAAGTAGACTGCTTTTCCTAGTAAAGCAACAATTGTGCAAGTTCTAAGAAGCTGCCTCAAGAAGTACCATACAAATGTATTTTAAAGTCATTTCTCCCCTTGCTTTGCACCGAGTTTACGGTTGAGACAAACCACTTAATACATATACCATAATGATATTTGCCGTTACCATAGCAAACGAGTGAAGGGGATATTCTTTAAAACAATGGAACTCTAATATTGGAAGACTCTAGTGGCCCCTACTAAACTCGCATTTTAAAATGTTCATAATCTTCCACCTTCATAAAACCTAACAACCATCGGTTTTAAAGCAAACTGTTTTTGTATACCTCAAAGGGTAGCTTTTGATAAACAAAAAATTGAGAAGTAGTGTACTGTTCTACGCATCAGATGAATTGCTATGAATTGTAGAGACAAACTTCTCCAAGTGGAGCTCATGCAGCCCGTTTGGGCATTTGCTAGGAAACTAAGCGCTAAGGAATCTTACGTCCGGTTGCTTCCAACCGCTGTCCTCCCTGTGCGGCCGCACGGGCCGTGCGCTCCGGAGCGGGTGCCCAGCGGGCTCGGGGGTCCGAGACTGAGCGGAGCGCGCGCGCTCGGCGCGGTTGCGCACGTTTCAGCACTTCCCGCTCCTATCGTTGGGCTAGACTTTCAACCGCCATCTGGGTTTGGCTTCCTCCTCCGTCGGGCGCCCCCTGGTGCTCATCACCTGCACCATCTTGAGTGGCTGCGAGGAGCAAAGGTCCCGGGAGCCCAAGGATGCTTTCGAGAAAGCCGCACGTCCAAAGCCGTGGTGTCAATCACACGGGTACCTGCAGGCACCTCTAGAGGAAGCTGGATGCTGTTTTACTAAGCACCAAGCAAACACAGGCGGACATTAAGTTTCATCCGAGTCAACTCGGCCCTCAAGTTTGTGGTAAAAGACGCAAAGATACGTTAGACCCCGTCTCTTCTTGAATCCGCCCCCTCCCACGCGTGCTGCGCGCTTTTTCCGGGCGGAGTTCGCTGTGACCCTTGACTGCAGTGGGGCGGCCCGTTTGTTGAGAGCCAGAATATCTGTCCTGGGCTGGAGCCGAGGATGCGGCCTTAAGTGCCATGGAAGGGAGGTTCCCTAACCTATACAATCAATGTTATGCACAAAGTGTGTCGCCAGGAAAGGGGTCCAGCTCCCCCGGCTCTCTGCCCACGCCCCGGTCGCGGCACCAACGCCGCTCCACATTAAACAGGAACAGCAGCTCTTTTTCCATCCATGGCAACCCCAAGAGCTCGCTCTCGCCTTGGCACAGCATGGTGGGAGCCTCTCCCCTTGTCCTGCCTCCCTCTCCTTTTCTTCTCCCTTCCTTCCTAACACAATTAATGCCTAAGTCATGATTTTCCTAGCTAGCGCCCACTGAAGGATGGGGCTTAGCGACTCACGGTGACGCTCCCATCCGCCTTCCAGAAGGGGAGGTTTCAGAGAGAACTACAGCTCCCGTCAGGCATCAGCCTAAGCCATCGCAGGGCATCACGGGAGTCGTAGGCGCCTTCCTCCTCTGTCCCATTCATTCCTCAAGGCGCCAACTACAAGTCCCAGTGGTCTCGGGGCGGGCACGCCTGCGCGAGAGCCCCGCGAGCGGGGTGGGGGTGGGGTGCCCCGTGCAGCGGGGGGCGGGGCTCGAGCGGGCTGTGTGGAGGCTTCAGGCTCCCGGCGCCATTTAGCGCCGAGTTTCGCCCGCGGACGCCGCGTTTCTCTCGCGGCGTCTCTGCACCCGTCTTCGTGACAGAAGGTGCCCAACCGGGTGACTGCCCTTCTTCTCCCGGCCCTCCTCGGCCCGGAGGAGCAGCAGGCTCGGGCCCTCCCACGCCAGCCCTCCCTCCGTCAGCCCCCGGCCCCGGCCCAGAGAGGACGGGGTCCGCCCGGCCCGGGGCGGGCGGCGAGGCCCGGGGCCGGGGGCCGCTCCTCCGCGTCGCGCGTCGGCCCCTCGCGTCGGGCGATGGGCGGCCTGTGAGGCCGTCCAGCAGGGCGGGGAGGAGGAGCGGCCACCCGCCTGGCCGCGAGCCCCGGCGCGGCCTCCCCTGCTTCCGCGCCGAGCCGCCGCCTCTCGGGGGTCCGCGCGCGCCGCCGCCTCAGGGCCCAGCCCGCCCCGTGCCGCGGCGGCGGCGGGCAGCCGGGCCGCCTCCGTCTGGACTCGGTGCGGGCCGCCGCGCCGCCCCCATGACCGCGCGCCCCCGCCGCTCCAGCCCGCCCGGCAGCCGCTTGCCGCACGATGGCTGCGGGCCGTGAGGCGCCAGCCCCCGTGCCTCCGCCCCGCCGCCGCCCCCGACCAGCGCGCCTCGAGAGCCGCAGCGGCCGCCGCAACCGGGCCCGCGGCCCCGCCTCCCGCTCGGGCCGCCGAGTCAGTGCTGAGTGAGGGGCCGTCGGCCCGCAGCTTCGCCGCCCCGGGCCGGCCCACTTCTGCGAATTCGAGCCGCCCGCCTCGCTCCCGCTCCCACCATGTCTGGCGGCGCCGCCGACCAGCAGAGTAGCGCGCCGGGCTCCCTGTTCCTCTCGCCGCCGGCGCCTCCTCCCAAGAATGGCTCCAGTTCGGACTCTTCGGTGGGAGAGAAACTGGGCGCCGCGTCGGCTGACGCCGGAGCCGGCAGGACGGAGGAGTACCGGCGTCGCCGCCACACCATGGACAAGGACAGCCGGGGGGCGGTCGCGACCACCACCACCGAGCACCGCTTTTTCCGCCGCAGCGTTATCTGCGACTCCAACGCCACGGCGCTGGAGCTGCCCGGCCTCCCGCTCCCGCTGCCCCAGACGAGCGCGGCCGCGGTGGTCCCGCAACGGAGCCCCCCGGAGCCCCAGCGCGAGGAGACCCTGACCCCCACTGCCGCCCATGTGGCCCAGCAGCCGCCCGCCGCCGCCGCCGCCGCCGCCGCCCCCGCCCCCGGGGAGCCGGTCGCCGCGGGCCCAGCCGCCGCCTCGGCCCCGGGCAGCGCCGGCAGAGACCGCCAGGTTGCCCAGCCCGGCCACGCGGGGAGCAAAGAGGAGCCCCCGTCGTCGAGAAGTGGCAGCGGCGGCGGCAGCGCCAAGGAACCCCAGGAGGAACGGAGCCAGCAGCAGGATGACATCGAAGAGCTGGAGACCAAGGCCGTGGGAATATCCAATGATGGCCGCTTTCTCAAGTTTGACATCGAGATCGGCAGGGGCTCCTTTAAGACGGTCTACAAAGGTCTGGACACCGAAACCACCGTGGAGGTCGCCTGGTGTGAACTGCAGGTATGCCCCACCTACTTCTTTATTTCTCGTTGGTTTGGATCCCCGATTTGGCTCGGTTCGGCCAGTTTGCCGAGTTCGCCCTTTGCATGTCTTTCTCTGATTGTTTGCTCCGAAATGGGGGGAGCCCAGCTTTTGGAAGAGAAGCCAGAATTTGGGGCATGCACCTAGGTGTTTGGATAGGATAGGAGTTAGTATTGGTAGCCAAAGAGATTTGCTCCTAGGGAGGAGTGATGAAAGTCATCCTGATACAAACGCATTGCCTATTCGTCATTGTTTTACTCGTCTGGCAGGAAACGGAATTAGTGGGGAAGTTTTTGAGTTAGGAAAGTACAGTCTTCTTGCCTTGTGCTCCTCAGGGGGTCTGCAGTGATGAGCTGCTGGTGTGTTAGATGCGTGTTTCCGTTCCTGAGATCAGCGTGTCCTTTTAGATTAAGAACGACCTTGTTCCTGACTCACTTTCCTTTGGGTATATTTTAGTTGGTGATCACACAGGCATTTAATAAACTGTAAGAAAGGCTTCCTTCTCTGGATAAATAATTTGGGACTAGAAAGTTATAGTAAGTGGTTGATACAGTTTCACCTAATGGTGCATAAACCTTATGATAGCTAGCAGTGATCTGACGTTGTTAATTAAAACTAGTATGTCTTCAGCCCATTCACTATACTGTGGGTAGTGCAGGAGCTTATGTAAAATTGTATATGTGCTTTGAGAGTCGTAATGTCATTATCGTTGTTTTAGCTTTGTTGTAAAAAGTTTTTAAGCCAAACTTTCCCAGGAGTACAAAGGAGTCACAAAGCTTCCTTTTTCACCTCTCTGGGAGGTTTTCATGGTGTAAATGAAATGATTTTCATGGTGTGTCATCCTGGTTGACAAGGATATTCTAGGTTTAAGTAGCTGGGTTTGGGCTACTTGTTGCTTGACCTGTAGCAGCTTGATTGAATGTTGTCCTCACCTGGAAGTGAACATACATAGGTTATTGGAAGAAGCAGAGTTGAACCGAATGAAAAAGCCACTTACATTATACATGAAAAATGCCAGTATCCATATTCTTCTTGCCAAGAAAATGGACCAAGCTGAATTAGGATATGAAAGTACCTGAGTGATCTAGGAATTTATCTATTATCCATGAACTAATATGTTAACACTTAACCCTTTGAATGTCACCTTCCAAATGACCAAGGCCATATCAAGTGTGAAGGGAAATTAACATGTGGAAGGAAGTAAACTTCAAAACTGACAGGTTTTTTTGGAATGTAATTTCTTAAGTTTTATAGTTAGTGATATAGAACTTCTAAGGCACTGTGAAATAAAACCTCAATTTTATAGTGTTTTAGAGTTGGGAAGGTGGCAGACCTTTTTTTAAAAAAAATTGTGAAACTATAACTTTATTCTGGTTGGTCAGTCATACTCAAAAACTTAGGTCTGATTTCTTTTGGTTTACAGGCGGACACCTGTTTCTTTTTTGTACCTCAGGTGCTTATTGCTACTGATCCTGGATTTTATTCTTCTATAGTTTCATGTTTGAATAGGTGCTTTTTAACAGTTTTTTTTCTTCCTTAATTAGTTACCTTACTCTCTTAAGACTAGACCCAAGTAAATGTTGAGCACCTTATGGATGCAATGTGTGTGTTTTCCTTTTTTGTCACTTGGAATTTTCTGATAGTTTATTATCCTGAAACTAATGATACAGTGGGGAAAAAAAACCTCAGTTTGTCTAATGTCAGAATAAGAATTTTGTCTAAGCTTCTCAGTTTTTCCTAGAACTGATGACTTTTTAGATTTTTGTTCTCTACCTAGGCATGGTCATGGATGGTTAAACAAAAGAATATCTGCTATCCTTACATATAATAATGTCGCCATGTTATTTTTACGTTAGTTCAGGGTTTGGCTGGAGAACCAAATGAGTCCTAGTTCATTTGTTTGGTACCCTGGTTTGGAACCTTCCATATATGTCATTTGACCCTACTTCTACAATTTTTCATTTTGGTTTTTAAAATGTGATTATCTTAGCCCCAGGATCCTTTATAGCAGTAGTTGGACAGTGTTTATGATTTTTTGGCCAGAACTTTTGCCTAATAACCTATTCAGTAGGTTAATGTTTGGGTTTTTGTCTTTGGATCTAAACTGAAGGACAAGCCAAGGGATTACTAAATCACTGGGAAAAAAGGAAAGCTTTTTTCACTAAATGTATATTTATTAATATGCATATTTTTCTGTAGGAGGACTGGAGAAATATTGTGTTCAGTTGTCGAGTTAAAAATCTTGTCTATTAAAACTGGAAGAGATCTTAGGTTATTTTGCCCAGCTGCTTATTTGATAAGTAAAGAACCTGAAGTCATAGAGCAGGTAAATGACTTGCTTGGGTTGATAAAGAACGGAAATTAAACTGGTTGGGATTCTAATAATTTGAGAAATGTTAAAGCATTTGTAATACAGTAGATGGTTAATTAGTAAATCTCAAATGAAGCTCTTCTGTTTTGGCTGGAAGTTACTGTCAGATTTTTGGAGAAATCCTATCCTGTAACCATGGCAAATTCCAGACTTCTGATTTGGGTGTTGATTTTATCACTTCAAATGGAGAAATAAATAGGCTTTTTGGGGTGGAGAATGGGTGAGTGTGATATACAAGTAAAATTTGTTTCGATCAAGCTTATTTTTAGAGTCACAATATGCATAGTTACTTAGTAAAACAAATATTGACTCTTAATAAATAATATGTAGGTAATATTTTGATACCACAGGATTTGAAGAGATAACTGAGATCTTTTAAGATGAAAATTTCTTTACGTGGTTTTATTAGGTAGGCTGTGCTTTAATTTTACTTCTCTTTTGGCTTGGTCAGAAAATGTTATTTATGGACTTTGCAGAATTTACGTTGCTTTTTTAGGAAGGGTTCTTCTTTGCTTTTCGTTTTAAAGAAACATAGCATAGTTTGCTTGAAGAAAACATGGAGATTCAAGAATGGTTGCTCTACTCTAAGCACTTTCCTCCCCATGCTACTTCTAAATACTGAGTTCACTTGATATATTGATGAGATTGTTACCAGAGCTACCTGAAAGGAGAGGTCAAATCATAAATTTTGATTAAGCTCCAAAATACTTACAGCCTATTTTTCTCTGGGTTTTCGCAAGTTAAGAGTCATGTCTCATCATGAGTATATGATATTAATGTTTTATGAAAAGTTTGTCAGTGCTGCAGAAATTGGATGTGGTTCTGTGGTTAAGAAACCATAACATTTCTTTGCTATAGTTCTTAAAATAATTCATTGAACTGTATCTTCCCATTTGAATATTGAGGATTTTTC